AAAGGAGCTCCTTCTGTGGTTCGGATCATTATCATACCCTGGGTATCTAGCACAAGGTCTAATCTACAGGAAATACTTGTTGAACGACTGAAACAGTGAATTGCATTGACCAACAATAATAGGGCACCAGTCGTAGTACTCTGGATAAAGGATTAAGATTACACGTTGAGTGACAAGTCAAAAACATTGGCTCTCAGTGCCTCCTGAACTTACTTTCATCACCCTATGACCCGGAAGTGGCCAGTCAGACCCCCTCTGCTTTCTGCCCAGAATCACCCTCAGGCACGCAAACATCATATTCATCTCTACTTCTCTCCAAAGCTCTTTTTTAAATAGATCTAAACAATTAGACCTCCAATTTTAAGCTGGTTGGAAATCTAAAGTTACAGACACTTGTAGAATAGAGCACATGTCATAGATAATACCTCAAATGATTAGTAATGGGAGCATATATTAAGATAGCACAAATTCAGCCCAACTCTCAGGCAGTTCTGATTCTATTCTAAATGCAGTCATGAAGCTAGTTTAGGCCTGTGTCTATCTAATGTTGATATGCATGGTCCATCTCAGAGAAGCCAAAGATTGCACAGACCAAGAAAGCTATGTTATCTTCTTTCACACGATGATTTCGGAGTTGTGACACAATAATAAAGTGCTAAAATATTTTCCCAAATTAGTTTATGGCAGCTCATACCTACAAATACTGGTTTACAACCTCTTTTTCATAAGCATTGCCATAAATATCATACAGAAAGCAATGCTTTTGATTGTGACAAGACACCAGGAACAAAGAGAAAATATGATTTCTCATACAATTACTTTAAAATAAGCATGATTTTATTTTCATAAAGTTTTCCTATTTTCTTTTCACCTTCTGGGTTCATCGACAGCTTCAAACATTGGGAATCCTACAGGTTTTACAGTATAGATCTCACCTGAATATTCACCAAAGTTTAGCTCCATATTAATAAGGACTCTGCCTGAATGGTTCAAGCAAATCCATACACTCTGGATAGTGTGAAGTTCCTTATGAAACTTGAATTGCATTAAGTTGAGTTAGAACCTTCCTCTGCTCCTTGGTATAAAGTCATTTTAAAAGTTGTAACAGTTAAATACCAGGTTTTAGCCAAAATATGAATTCATGATGAATTCACATATGAACTGGAAGCACATCATGAAAATTTTCAAGTAGATATTTAAACTGTGAACCATTTCTCCACCTACAGAACTAATGTTATAGACAGAGTTCTACTGATGCCGATCACATACCACAATGTGAAAACAGTGTTTATTTTTAACGAATAGAAGATGATCAGCCTGTGTGATCCTCAGTCATACATCCAGTTCACTTTTCCCTTATGATAATAATTACCACATCAGTTATTGAATTACTTTACATCCTAATGGGTTATACTTTCACTCATGCCAACTAACATTTTTTATCACTCTGTAAAACTACCTTTCCTATGTGAATCTTTCAAATGGACTTCAGCTAATTACTGTTGATAATTTAAAAACTGAAACCCAACACAAATAGCATACTTGCTATAATTCAAAAACTGAAACCCAATTCCAGCGTAGAACACAGAGTTATTTGTTATTGCTGCTGTTAAAATGAGCCCTGCTTTAAAAAAAATGGCAAATTTTGGAATAAGATTTTTTCATTTTAAGTTAAATCAGCATAAAAGAGTTAACCTGATTTTCTAAATAGTGACAAAGTGCCAAAAGTTCAAGCAGACACATGCACCACTATACCACAAGGAAAGTCTCCATATATACAGTCCTCTGTTTTGTTTTCATGGTAACAAGAACATTCACAAACACATCCCATGCAAAGGAGCCTGATCAATCAAAAGATTCTGCTAGTTAAGCTTTCAGTGTTATCAAAGAGCACTATTTTCCTATGCGATGATATACACATAGTAAATTTTTCATATTCCATGTTTAATAGGAATATACAAATGTTTTATGTATTTCAGTGGTATTTTACCAAACACCTCTACAAGGATCTAACCAATTAAAAATCAGCTAGATCTTAAATTTGCAAGATCATTAATATACTACCATTCCCAAAATTGTCCCCAAATCAATCACATATCAATTTATTCTTAAATATCCTTGTATAAATATAAGCCATCTCTAATAGCCACATAGAATACAATCACTGTAACAGAAATACAGATGCCAATAAGCAAATTGTTTTATACCCGACCTAAGCTCCACACAAGAAATTGTCTCAGACAATGTGCAAAAAATTCATCACTGTAATGTAATATTTTTTCTGTATATAAGAAATATACTGTATGTTTCCAACCTAGTGGTCAAAAGGGATTATGACACTTGAAACACACTATTATCAAGTAAATGCTGGTAAATCCCTTTCAGCTCACAATGAAAATGTACAGTTGTCATCTGGTACCATGACTCCTTAGAGTTCCACAGGTAATTTCCTCTTAATAATGAAAATGATATCCACTTTACTCACAGAAAGGGCATTTCTGTTCTGATAAGCTATGTGGCCTATACCCCAAAATTCAAACCAATCTACTCATTCCACAATCTACTTTGTTAAAAATCTGCTTTTGGCACTCTTATAAGGTGAAAAAGCAATGAGGCATTTGCTACATATGTAGCAAACATATGTGATCTATATGTGTAAATATTTAAAATAACTTGGTTTGCTCAAGGACAAACATCACCAAATATTACTATATCACTGAAGGAAACGTTTCTAATAAAGTTAAATGGTCTTTTTCTAGGAGGACAGATCATTGCAAATTTAATTAAAATGGATCTTATTAATATTTCAAGTAATTTCTGGGCTTGATTATGCACTACAAAAGAAACAACTGTACTGAAGAGAAAAATCAATAGCCCTTGACTAGGGCTCTGGGTATGCTAGAAGAACACAGTTCTCTTGTGAATTATTGAGGTCTAGCCTCAAGGTTGGGGGCAAGTACCAATATTCATTTGGAGGCAAATTGAGTTAAAAATGGCAGAAAAGGAAGGAGAAAAATCAGTTCAAATTTTCCATTATAATAAAAGTACAGGAAACAGGCCTTTCTATATCATTTTAGGCCTAAATAACTGCAGAGAATAAGGGTTTTGCAGTATCAGTTGCACACACAGCTTCCTATGTGAATGCTAAGCCATTACAGGTGTCCTAAGGCCTCCAGTGAAACCTATTACCAACAGATTCCTCCGGTCTCCTCTAAGCCATCCCCAGGGCCCCCTATCCGCCCACACATTTTTGCTTCTCTCCTCCAAGCGTCTTGATTAAGAACCCACTCTCTTCTCTGCACTCCCTAGGTTAAAGTGCCCCGGTTCTTTTGGCGTAGCAGGTTACAAGCTTTCCCGTTAGGGAGACTAGTGCCTGCAGTCCTTTTTAGTTAGATGCTTTTAAGTCAGAGATGAGAGGAGCCACTTGAAGAAACCCTCCTTCCCTTCTTCCTTTCCCCCACTGGGAACCAGGTCCCTGAAGGACAACACCCAGGGACGCTTCCTGACCTTCTATCCCCTTACCCAATTTGGGCTTGGAGGGTTGGGGTCGCATTTTCTCGTGTCCTCTGCTGCACTGGATGTGTTATGTAAGAGAGGCAGAACGCGGGAGGCACATGCGTATAAAGCGCACCTATCTGTGATAACAGCTGGGGTAGCAGAGCTGATCTGGAGTCCACCCCCCACCAAATACGACAGACCCCACACAAGCACATCAGCACCCCCTCCCCCACCCTCGCATATACACGCGCGGGCGCGCGCACACACACACACACCCAGAGCAATGTTTTCCTGTCTCACCCCTACCAGTACCAGAGGCACAGAATGGAAAGGCGGGGGGTGAGGGTGAAAGGAGGTGAAAGAGGAGGAGGAGCGGCAGCAGCACATCTGCTTTGATAGCAGCCGGCAGAGCCGCCGCGGCACAGAGCCCCTCGTTAACCCCCTTCCTGTGGCTGCACCACGTCATGGAACATTCCCGGAACGGGCCAACGTTCCACCCACTTCAGGGAACAGACATAAAGGCGCAGACCCAGCTCCCCACAGTGCACAGCCCAATCACACATGTCCCTTCCCGATCCCCGGCCAGACGCACAGACAAACACGCATGCAAACCGCCCCCACCAGTCTCCACGCGCCCGGGTCCAGCCGGTAGCGGCCAGAGCCGCTCTGCGGCCGGTGCACCCGCAAGGCGAGGGCGCCTCCGCCTGAACCTTCCATCGAGACAGTCCCCTCCTTCCTCGCTTCCTTCCTTCGCTCCTTCCTTCCTTGCCAGGGAGGTAAAGGGAGTCACTGAAATGCCCGGAGCCAGCGTCTTCCCCGCCCTCGCTCGGCCGCAGGCCGGCGGCCCGGGCCTCGCGCCGCCCGCCCGCGCCGCGCGCCGCGGCCCCCTCCCCCGCTACCTGACAGCGGGCCGCCGGCGGCCGCCGCAGCCGCAGCGGTGGCCCGGCCGTGCGCGCCGGTGCACGTCGCTCATTAGTAAGCAGGCACATTCCTGCCTCCAGCGCTCCCGCGCGGCCCCCTCCCCCCAGGACATTACGCAAAGCAGCCTCCCCTCATCTGCATAGATCCGCGGCCAGGGTATTCCCCGCATTTCCCCACGCGCTCGACCCCCCTCCCGCGGTCTCCCCATCCCCGCCCCCTCCGACCCTCACCCTCCGGCCACCAGGAAGGGGCTGGGGGCGAGCACCCGGGAACCGGGGAAGGAGTTTGGCGGCGGCGATTCCAGTGTGAAGTGAAACAAGCTCCCAGCGCCGAAGGAGGCAGGAAAAACCCAGCGCCCAGGCCACTTACCCAGCCGAGGAGGGACCTAGATTCCCGCCGCTCCGCTCTCCCAGTGGCCGGTCCGCCCTCCGCGCACCCCGAGGCTGCACCCAGCACCCCACAGGCGAGACGTGGAGGAATACTGTGAACGAGCCGGGAGACCCTCCAAGTTGCTCCGGGCTCTGGGGAGCGTCAATGTCCAGGACACAACTTGGCAAAGACTTGTGCCACAGTCACCGAAGATGTTTGTGCGGAGACCCTCCTCCGGGGAGCGACGGCGCTCGGCTGCGCCCCGCTCTCCTCCTCTCCACCCCCTCACCTCCAGCCCGCCTCCCGCCGGCCGCCCGCCTCCGGGCCGCGAGCCCCTCGGGCGGCTGTCAGCTCCCGGCCACCGCCGGGTGACAGGGGCGGGAGGAGGGCGAGACGCGGCGGCCCGAGCCCTAGAGGGCGAGGGGGATCCTCGCAGCCGCGGCGGCCGCTCACCTGGAAAGTCACCGCTGAGGAGGAGGAGGAGGAGGACAGGGAGGTGGAGGGAGAGGAGGAGGGGGAGGAAACCCCCCTGGTGCCCTTGTTCTCGCTGCCGCGGCGGCCGCTCCTCGCCAAGGCTGAGCGTGTCTGGTGGGGGGTGTCTGGTAGCATTTCCTTAAGGACAGAGGGAGGGCGGGCGCGGAGGGAGGGAAGAAATCCCGACCGCCAGCCCAGGCTCCTCTTCCCTTTATTTATTTTTCTGACACTGTAAGGAGATGGGCCCGGGACAGGGGCCGCGGGGCTCAGGCGGGAGCCGCGAGGCCCGGGCCGCAGCTGTCTGCGTGCGGGAGCCGCAGCGGCCGCCTCCCCTCCCGGGCTGTGGACGCACCGGGTTATTCCTGGCAGCGCCTCCCCGAACAGAAGTTACTAGGAGGAGTGCGCGGCGAGGACGGACGGGGGGAGAGGCAGTGGGAGGGAGGGAGGAAGAGGGAGAGACTCAGCCAGCGACGTCATCGGATCCCCCAGCGTGTCCCAGGGAGGGAGGCTGAACCAGAAAAACCAGTCTGGAGCCAGCGAGCAAGGGAGGGATGCGCGGCGCGCGGGGCGACGGGGGAGGAAGGCGGTCGGGAGGGCAAGGCCTGGCCCCGCGGCTGCCGCTCCGGGCGGGGAGATCGCGGCCGCACACTCGCTCGGTCGGAGCGGGGAACTCCCCAGAGAGCCGGCCTCTACTTGTCATGCAAAAAAACTTGGGCTTCTCTGGGAGCCTGAGAATTTCCTTTAAGGATGTGGAAACCTCCTCCGTCCCCACCCCTTCCCCATTTCCCAGATAATCGTCGCCTGCCTTCCTGATGAACGGAATTATCTAATTAGTAGGGTCCTTAGATTTGGTCCAAGTACTCCGGATCCCCTGCCTCTCAACGCCCCTGCTGCCTCTACTCACAATTATGTTATCAGTCAAGAAAAGCAAAAATCAGACTGTGGCTCCTGGCTGCGTTTCTGGAGCTTTGCAGTGTTTTACTAGCACTTTCCCTGCCCTTGCGGGAGCGCGAACTTCTCAAGTGCTCGAAACGCCCGGACGGCCTTCCCTGGAGTCACTCACCAGGGTGCCCCCGGAGCCCCCGGCTCCGGGACCGCGGCCTGCCCTCGCTGGGATATTCAAATAGATGTGGGCAGCGGCGCGTGGAGCAGCTGCTGGTTTCCTGGTGGGCCACCCTGGAACCCTGGGGGGTGCTGCCGCCTTCAGCCTGTGCGCTTCCCTCACCACGCAAGGGACCAGATTTGAAATATCACCCAGCCCTGGGAGAGCGGGGCCGGGGGGGATGGGCGGGGGGGGGGGCGGTGGAATCCCAGGCGAGTGGGAGCCTAAGCTCTGGGCTTCCTCCCCGGCCGGGCGTCACCCGGGGGACACCGGGGCTCCGTCGAGCCGTTACCCTGTTTGTGTGGACTGGTGTACATCCTCGAGGGAGGTTCCCAGGGCGCCACGGTGCCGGGGCGCGACGAATGACTGCGGGGCGGGGCCGGGGCCCGGAGCGCCTCCCCGGGGTGGTCTCCCCGCCAAGCGGGGACCTCGCGCAGCCTCTCCCGGGCGCCCCAGCCCCCGCGCCCCACGGCGCCCAGCCGAGCGCCCGGGGCGCCGCGGGCCCCAGCGGTCCTCCCCACCCCGCGGCAGCGCCGCCGCCCTGCCAGGGGCGGAGTAAACTGGAGACGCGCAAGATTTGACCTGGCGCGACCCGGCTTTCTGGCCGGGGTTCCCCCTGAGCAGGTGACTCCGTGGGAGGCGTGGAAATGAGTCTCTGGAATTCCGGGCCAAAGACAATAACTGTGGTTCTGCTTTTAAACCAGGTATTTCACCAACAACTGCGGAATGTTTTGTGTCTCGAGTTTCAGATTTCTCGGAAAAGGACCAAATGTCAGGACATATAAAATATCCCCTTCTCTTTTCATTAAAAATGAGTGCATTACAAAGGAAGGGCAGCCCCGTAAATGCCTTCGAGTACAGCGCTGCTGGTTTCGTTTTTGTTTTGCTTTGTTTTGTTTTTCATCCCGACCTACAATCAGTGTATTTTTGAGGTCCCCATGCAGTGGCTACAGTGCCGCCGCCGCCGTGAAGGGCAACTCTGCAAAATAAAGCGGTGATACAATTTTTTAAGCGATTTTTTTTTTTTCTCAGAGGAGAAATATCCGAACAATTTGGCATAAGTTTCACTTTGTCCTTCTTTTAGGTTGATCTCATTTAAATTCAGGGCCTACTTCCACTTAAGCAACTTCTTCTTTCATTGTATAGGTTCTTTAATACCCAGCCTTTTTTTTACTTAACTTGAAGGCTTTAATTTAAAAAACTGTCCCAATCATCATTTTCTTTTAAATGTATGCAGTTGCATTTTAAACATCCATTTAACACGCAAAATGTGATTTTTTGAATTTTTTTCACTTTCAAACCCACCTGCTACATACTCCCAGAGACCATTTTATTTAATTGCTTAATAGAGAAAATTAAGCAGTTTCTTTAAGAATCCAATTTCCCTTCAACAAACACAACAGCAGCTGCCCAAGCTCCCAGAAACTAAGCAAGGCAACTATCAGGCAGCATTTTGCTTCACTAGAATGAATGTTAGTTGAGACCTTAAATACCTCTGAAAAAGACTAGATTAAAGAGAATAATGGGGATATTAAGATACTTCTGTAGTTATTTAAAATATTTTTTTAAAGAAAACCCTGCAGACATACATCCATTTTGATGATTAGGTCCCACCATCAAAGAGGACCCTGAAAACAGTTTTAGTCAAAATTTGACAAATTTTAAATAATTACTTTGTTTCAGAGGCATGAAGATGGAAAGAAGATAGCCTGCATTGAGTTGAAGTAAAGTAACAATATTGTGAATATGTGTAACTAGGTGACATCCTCTCTGCTGGGAAGAATCCTGTGTGTGTGTGTGTGTGTCACAGAGACAGGGTTTTGCTCCATTGCCCAGGCTGGAGTGCAGTGGCACAATCACTGCAACCTCTGCCTTTCAGTTTCAAGAGATCCTCCTGCCTCAGCCTCCTGAGTAGAGTGGAAGCCACTGCAGCTCTGGGGCAAATCAGCAGCAGTCGCTCCAGAGCCTGACCTACATAGGACATATAGAAAGCATTGTCTATTGTGGTTGGTTGTTCCTGTGGTCAGTCCCAATGGCCTACTGATTGGGGGTTTTTCTCCAAAAGGCTGCATGGCTTTTCTCCTCAAAGTGAATCCCCTTTATAACCCATATTTTATGTCTATATCTCAGACATGCTATCCATATTTAGTCAATTTCCAGTTGCTTGCATGTAAGGGCAATAGAGTAATCGAAAAACTCTTCCCAGAAAACCCCCAGAGACAAAACTAGCATTGGTAGAAAACTGGACATGCAGCTCTAAGAAGCTCTACGGGAAATGAGGCTAGGTAGGACACAGCTGCCCCAGCCTGGCACCCACAGGGAGCATCAGCAAGGAAACAGGAATTTGCTTTTCATCATGCATTCTTCTTATCACTTCTCAGTTTCAAAGGAAAGGAAAATTTGGTAATCTACATTTTGAGACATTAAGAAAGAAAAATAATTAATGGCTACATGGTTGTATGGCATTTTTCAGAGTGTTGTCAGAAAATCACTTTGAACTGAAATTACTTTCATTTAAAAAATATTTATTGAGTGCCTGGTATGTGCTGAAGATTCTTAAGACGCATCAGTGAAGAAATGAAACATCCCTCCTTTCCTGGAGCTTGCATTCCAATGGGAGGAGAGGATTTGGAAGAAGAATGGGATAGACAATAAATGTAAGTAATAAATTATATAGGACTTTGAAAGGTGAAATATTTGGGGAAAAACATAAAATAGGGTAGAGGATATAGGTGGGGTGAGGGTTGTCCTGATGCTATATTAAATAGGGACGTAAGAGTAAGACTTGTTGAAAAGGGAGATTTCTGCTATGGCTTGAAGGAAATACCTGGAGATATCTGGAGGACAGAGCTTTTCACATAGAGGGAACAGCCAAGGTTCAGTTCCAATACCTGGAATTTTTGTAGACTTCAATGGTAATGGGGTGGCTAGAATAAAATGAGACAGCCAGTGAACAGAAGACCTCTCAGGCCACTGCAAGGACTCCAGAAAAGCTTCTTAAAAGGCAAGTTTTGGGCCTTTACCACTCAGTCCCATGGAATCTGAATCTGAATGCAGGGCTCAGGACTCTGCATTTTTAACATGTAAAGCAGTTGTTGTTTATGTAGGCTAAAGCACAAGACCTCCTGCCACAGAACATGGAGCCTGATATACCCAGGCAGGAGAACTGGGTACCAGGAGACATTGTACATGAAGCTTCCAGAACCAGGCATGTCCATGTTACTAATCAAGACTTTCCCTTAAATCTGCAACTCAAATGATTTTAAGGAAAAATGGATTTCATTGATTCACGTCAAGGACTAATTTTCAACATAGTGAGATCCTGAGGCTCAAATATTATTATCCCGTAAAGCCTTCTCCATCTCTGTTCCTAATTTCTCCGCTTCACTTTGCCCTTCAGGCAAACATTCTGCAGGTTTGTGGCAGAATTCCCAGATTATAGGCTTCCCAGATAAGCAACCCAGCAGGAAAAGACCTTCTTTCCAGATAGCTAAGGCAACCTTAGTCATGTCATTGCACCTGAACCACTTGCCGGGCTGGGATGGAGTGATCTAATTGGTCAGGACTAGACTTGGATAGGAGAAGGTCCTCATGAAAAAAAAAAAAAAAAAAAAAAAAAAGCTGTTCCCAAAACAAAGGCATCTTGCAGACCAGGGGGTGGAAAGTACCCACTATATCCCTTAATTCTTTTGGCTTTGGCTTCCCTATTTTTTAAAACTAGGGATTTAGTCAAGATGATATGTCTGATTTCCTATAAATTCTATATAAATCACTGTAATAAATCCCCCCAATAAAATTGTGCAAAATGAATTAACTGGCATGCCATTCCCTCAGACAGATTTATAGTACTATAAATAAGATATTAAAGGGGTTACCTGCTATGGGATTCTGAAGAATAAATAGAATATAGCCTTAGGTCTTAATAAAGAATAATGACTTAGACCTGCCTTTCTGATGGATCTCTTGCTTCCTACTTACCTGCTTTAATCAATGTATGGAGGAAAATTAAGCAATGTCATGATTCACATGATGTTAAGAATACATAGGTCCTCAAAAATGAGTTGAAGAAAAGAATTTGGAGGGAAAATCTGCCCGTCTGTTGAACTGTCAATAGGACACAAGTCCAATCATTCTGATATTGACACGTCTTTTTATCCCAATATACATCCTTTGGATGAGGAGTGGAGGGAGATAGTGGTAATGAACCACTGATCAGCCAGAGCCATACTGTGATTCAAGATGACATCTGTTTGGATTGAAGGATAAAGTGCTTATCCTTGTGGGTTTTACAAGGCAGACAGAATATGCAGACATCCAACTAACCAAATGTCACCCTATACTCCAGAGTTGCTCAGAATACATTCCAAAGAACACTTATAGCAATACCTCTTGAAATGCTCAATTAGAAGCCTGGGCTACCCCCTATATTTATAAAATTGGAATCCTCAAAATTAGAGCCTGGGAAACTCCATATGAATAAGATCCCCAGGTAACTTCTACTCTCATTAAAGTTTGAGAAGCATCCCTTTACACCTTGTCCCTCAGACTGAATGGGGGCTGGCTGGCTGAGAACTCTTTTCTTCCCTGTTTGTCATATTCTTCAGGTTTCACATGATCGTTTATGACAAGTTGGTCTCTTTTTCTCCTTTAAAGATATTCTTGTGGCTCTTATTTTAACCAGATATCTTCTGTGCAAAAAATATGTCAGGAAAGAAATGATCCTGTGAATGATCCAGCCCTGGATAAGAAAGGTGGAGGGAGAGGAGGGAATGGTGGGGTCCAGAATATAGGAATCCATAGAGGACGCAAGGGGACAGAGAGGTCAGCTGTGGGGCTGAGCAAGATGCAAGCAAACTTTGACGGTTTTCTAGTTTAGCTTAAGACCAACCCTGCCCATAGTTTATGGAAGGAAGCTGCATATTTCATCAGTCCAGTCTGCTCGTGAAATGCTTGAGAATGCTCAAGGAATGAGTGCCCAGTCAGGCCTTTATTCTGAGGAAGCTCAATGATATCTCACAGATAACCGATAACCTTAAAGATGAACAAATATCAGATTAAGGAACAGCCAGTAAGACCCTGTTTTACTAATCCCTGAACTGCCACCTTAGATATAGGGAAATGTAGGCTTATGATACTCTGTTAGCAATTTAAGCACACCACATTAATGTCATCCCCCATCCTACTTTGTTCCATCACCCTCCCCCAACTCCAAAATTGGTTAGAGCTGAAATTCCTTCACTTAAAGTCACTGCTTGGGGTTAAGGCTTTGCCTCTGTAGAAATCTTCACTTACAAGCTAACTACAAATGGTAGCCCTTCTTATCCTAAGCTCTTAATCAGTCATTAACTTCTTATGAAAGATTAATTTATTAGATTGCCTTACAGAGTGACAGCTAGCTTAGTGCTCAAATTGATTTATCTTGACAAAGCATAGAATGGAGATAATATAGGAAGGTCTGGAGGGGGAGTGAGACAGAGAAATCCAAAACTTGGACCAGACTGAGAGGTCCAAGGCACACTAGGGCAACTTGGAATAGGATACAGATTGAAGGGGAAGGATGTGGAAAAAGATGAAGACAAAGGCAAACGAAAAGCCAACATCTTTGGCCACAGAGGATGCCTGTGCTCAGGGCCTGTGGAGCTGATCCAGACTTTTTAGGCAGAAGGTGGGTGGCTCTGTCAGCCCAGAGTACAGGTGCTAGTCCTGATCCTGAGCTAGCAGGAGACATAGGTCCCCTCTCTTAGCCTCTACTTCCTCATTCAATCAACTAGGGGATTCCCTTTCAATCATAAGATTCAGAAATAGAAACTCCTGACAATCTAGCAGGCACGGAGAAGGGGAGCAGGAAGACAGGGAAGCGTGAGAGAGAAAAATAGCAGAGAGGGACTATCTAAGTCCAAATTCCTCCCATGCTCTTGCAGGGGTTTCTTAAAGTAAAACATCAATTTCCAGTGTTAAAGAAATTGGAGTATATGGGCAAGGGATAGTGGGTTTCAGAGAATAGTGATTTTGGTTTAAAAACAGGTTATACAAATTTGACATACTATATGCTCAGAAAGGAGAAGAGTTCTTTCTGATTATCAGTCAAAATACATTGGGAAAAATGTATTTTTCTTGAATTTCATCTGTGAAGTCTTTCATTGTACCTAAGTCCTTAAACTTTTAGAATTTCTGAGACCAGGGATTTGACACACTCCCAATCTATCTATTGATCTAATGTCTGGTAGATTTTACCCTCTTTCATATAGGTTTGAACCTTCTGTTTAGGGTAGTAAAACAAAAAAGTCAGATAGTTATCACTAAGTTTGTTCAGTGATTCAAGCCCTTTGTCAGAAATTGTATGTAAAATAATGTAGCAAGTTGAAAGCATCAAAGAGACAATGTGCTAGTAGAGGATATTATTTCTGATCCAGAGGAGGCTACTCTCAGCAAAGAAGATACCAAAAAAAAAAAAAAAATTTTTTTTTTTTTTTAACGGAGTCTTGCTGTGTTTCCCAGGCTGGAGTGCAGTGGCTCAGTCTCTGCTCACACAATCTCCACCTCCTGTGTTCAAGCGATTCTCCTGCCTCAGCTTACTGAGTAGCTGGGATTACAGGCATGCACCACCATGCCTGGTTAATTTTGTATTTTTAGTAGAGAGGGGGTTTCACCATGTTGGTCAGGCTGATCTCGAAATGCTGACATCTTGTGATCCACCCGCCTCTGCCTCCCAAAGTGCTGGGATTACAAGCATGAGCTACCATGCCTGGCTGAAGATACCAAAATTATGCAGATGCGAAGCAGGCTGGGTTTACTTAGGTGTTACTGGGGTAACAACAGAGTCACCGCTGAAATAGTCCCATGCAATCATCCATGAACTTCGTAAAGCCAAACAACAGAGAGACTAGTGTGTCATTTCAGTACTTCCTTGTACAAGAGGAAGAAGAAATCCATGATCTGTTTAGAAGGATTTGCACAAGAGAAAATTAAATTTATTTTAAAATATTTTGTACTCATATTCAGCTATTTGAAAAGTCCACATATAGATTAGACTGCCCCCAGTGATTCTGGTGAGTATAACAGTATTAGAAACCTTAATTATTTGTTTTGTATCTTTTTAAAAAATATTTTTAATAAAGGAACTACTTACTCAGTATGTTATTTCCCATTGACATTCTTGTATATATAGATGAATATGTCAGTACCTTCTGTTCTGGCAAACTGATATGCTCCAGGTCTCTCTACTGCCTTATAAATATATCTATCAGTGTTTTATAATCGTGTCTCCTGCACTCAACTGTGGGATCCTCAACTAGAAGAGACTGTGCCAATGATATATGGTGCTGAATAAATATTCTGAGTTTTAAAGTTATTATTTTACTCCTGCCTTCTTATCTTTTCCTAGGCTCTGTGGTATAAGCCATGACACTGCCACTGAAATGTGTGAGACTCTCTTTGCTAAATAACATCTTAAATAATGACATGGGTGGGAGCATAGTTCAAACAGACCTGTGTTAAAAAAAAAAAAAAAAACTATGTAGCCTTGGGGAGGCAGCCTGTTCTTTTTTTTATTACATTTTTCCTTCAAGGCAATGATTATTTTCCAGCATTTAAGGATGTCTGACCCAAGCACTGCTGGCACAAAGCTCACCAAATGTCATGTGTGTAAATCAGCCCTTGATGAACTGACAAAAACAGTATTTTTCAAAATGGTAGGCTGAGGAGGCTGAGGCAGGAGAATGGCTTGAACCCGGGAGGTGGAGGTTGCAGTGAGCACTCCAGTCTGGTGACAGAATGAGACTTTGTCTCAAACCAAAAAACAAACAAGTGACATATTTTATATGTTTTATTAATTAATTCAAAAAACTTTTCCCAGAAACAATCTTCAGTAAATAAGTAATGGCTGCTGGATATAATTTGCATTTGGGTGGCAGGTCAGCAAAGAAAGAAATCCAAATAGAGGACTTTCTGAAAGCCTAATTATAATTAGCCTAAAGTAAATAAATCATAAGTGCACAATTAGATTAATTTTGGCATATATATGTGTGTGTGTGTAACCATTATTCTGAAGAACGTGGAGAGGATTTTTAAGATTATAAAGGCTCCCTTGTACCCCTTCACACAGGGTACCCCTGAGATCATCTGTGTTCTAACTTCTATCATCATAGGTTGTTTTTTTAGTAAAGATACATACGTACATATGCATGCATGCACATATGTATGTGTTTATTTTTTAAATGTTTCAAGTAACCCTGTGCTAGACCAAGTTTGATGACTAGAGATACAGGAGTCATCAAGGCAGATGAGGCCTCTAGGTTCTCTGGGCCTCACATTCTGGTTAAGAAACTGATAGTAAACAACTTTACCCATAAGACAGTTTCAAATCATGAAAAATGACAAAAATAAAACAAGGCAATTGATAGGCAATAAATAGGTAGCATAGGGTAATATTGAATGAAGGTGGAGGTATCTGCAGGGTTGACATTTGGACTGATAACTGACTGATGAAAAGAAGGGAAAAAGAGCCCCAGGAAGAGGGAACTGAAAGTGCAGAAGCCCTAAGCCAAGGAGAAGCTCTGTGCCGTGAGGAACTGAAAGGCCAGTGTGGCTGGACATGGGAGGTGGGGAGTGTGGAGGAAAAAGTTCTAAGAGATAAGGTAAGAAAGGCAACCAGAATGAACCAGAGGAAGATGCCTTTGTGGGCTAGATGAGTTTTGAGGAAGGGGGTAGACACTGGGGATTTAAAAATACATATGTCATGCCAGGCACGGTGGCTCACACCTGTAATCCCAGCACTTTGGGAAGCCAAGGTGGGTGTACCATGAGGTCAAGAGATTGACACCATCCTGGTCATGGTGAAATCCCGTCTCTACTAAAAATACAAATATTAGCCGGGCATGGTGGTGCATGCCTGTAATCCCAGCGACTCGGGAGGCTGAGGCAGGAGAATTGATTGAACCCAGGAGGCGGAGGTTGCAGTGAGCCGAGACTGGCCATTGCACTCCAGCCTGGGCAACAAAGGGAGACTTCGTCTCAAAAAAATAAATAATAATTACTCAGATTTACTAATTTGGATTTTAAAATTATTAATCCAGCTGGGCATGGTGGCTCAAGCCTGTAATCCTAGCACTTTGGGAGGTTGAGGCAGGAGGATCACCTGAGCCCAGGAGTTCCAGACCAGCCTAAGTAACATAATGAGACCCTATTCCTACAAAAAATTTGAAGAATTATCTGGGAATGGGAGCACATGCCCAGCCACTTGGGAGGCTAAGGCAGGAGAATCACCTGAATCTGGGAGGCAGAGGTTGCGGTGAGCCGAGATCACACCATTGCACTCTAGTCTGGCGACAGAGTGAGACTTCATCTCAAACACACACACACACACCCCAACACACACACACACACACACACACACCCCTATATATTCTGTTAATTAATTCAAAAAACTTTTCCCAGAAACAACCTTCAGTAAATAAGTAATGGCTGTTGGATATAACTTGCAACTGGGTGGCAGGTCAGCAAGGAAAGAATTCCAAATAGAGGACTTTCTGAAAGCCTAATTATACACGTTGAATGCGACAAAAGGAAAATAGTTTTTATGGTAGCAAATCCTAAAGAGAATTTAGATAATGTGGGTGCTATTCTTCACATTTTTCTATGGCTAATTAGAGAGAGCTGGGAAACACACAATGCTGCCCACAGCTCTGCAAACCCATTATGGGCACTTCTAATTTCAGATAAATGAAGCCCTTGGTTACCACCCCCAGCTTGTCTTAGAACATCCATTGTATTATCAGAGTAGATGAGTAAAAATAATAGCCTTCTGAATACCTACAAAGGGTACCTTTCTCTTATTAGTAGATAGTTACAAGTTCAAATCACGTCTCTGTGTTAATGAAGCAACTCCCCAATTTACTTTGCTCTTGAAAATCTAGTTTTTCAAATTTTCTGTTTTACACAGAAAATATGATATTTAGCTGGGTGGCTTAGTTAGAGCACTAAAAGGTCCATTTACGTAACTTTAAAAATTAGTGATTATGTGAAATCTTAGGTGCATATATAGATACATATAAGTATCTTCTCTCTAGTAAACATTTTTAAAAAGCATTTCTAGCAGTACATATCTATCCAAGTATATATAAACTTAAAGATATGCTATAAACAAGTAAACAATTCACATCTTTAAAGTTTACCCTTCATTAAATAAAACCATGATGTTATTTTAAAAAAATGATAATATGCATGTAATGGGAAACATTAAATGACATGGCCAGGGCAAAATTTGAAGAAGAAAAAAATATCAAGACAATTGCATTTAAGTTTCCAACAAGAGCTTACATCACTAGGTTTACTGTAGTTATACAAATGTAATAGCAAGGTTTGTAAAATGCCCCTAAAATTCCTGGGTGAAAGCAGAAATGAAGAAAATGTGCATGCTTATAAATATCAGGATATCTGAAAGCATAAAGATATTTGGTTGAGTTTTTCCATTGTCATCCAGATTTGATTACGTAGAAAAAACTGAAAGGTTCTTATTGTTTTGGTGTTTCAGCACTTAGCAAAGGGGCTGCCACTCATTTCGGCTTTTTTCTTAATTATTCCAGGGTTCCATGAACTGCTTCCTCTGAGATGAGATCTAACAAAGCTGAAGACGAAAATGTAGTTGTTTACAGCATGAAAAGGAGGCTACCCTGTGCACAGCAAAATCAACAGAGAAGAGACAGTCCTATGCCTTCGAGAAGCAGTCTGCTGATACTGTCATGATGTCTAGTGACAGGCTGGAGATTAAAACCCGACACCCTCATTTTCCTGACAGTGATTTAACCAAGTAGCGTAACATCGCTAAGAGCTTCAATTTCCTGCAAAATTGGGACAATAGTATTTGTTTCATAGTGTTACTGTCAGGGTTATACGTTAAGCATTTAATATATGCTGATTGTTTATCTAAATATTCATGGTCAGGCACTAACTTCTTATATGACTCTGTGCAATACATTAATCTCTGTGCCTGTTTCCTCATCCATAAATTGGGAGTTGAACAAGGTGAGCCCTAAGTTTCGTTCCAGCATCAACATTCTATAATTCTTGCAGTTTTCATACCTTATACCTTTTTTTTTTTTTTTTTTTGAGACGGAGTTTCGCTCTTGTTACCCAGGCGGCTGTGCAATGGCGCGATCTCGGCTCACCGCAACCTCCACTTCCTGGGTTCAGGCAATTCTCCTGCCTCAGCCTCCTGAGTAGCTGGGATTACAGGCACGCACCACCATGCCCAGCTAATTTTCTGTATTTTTAGTAGAGACGGGGTTTCACCATGTTGACCAGGATGGTCTCCATCTCTTGACTTTCTGATCCACTTGCCTCGGCCTCCCAAAGTGCTGGGATTACAGGCTTGAGCCACCGCGCCCGGCCAGTTTTCATATCTTTATAATGGGCATAAGAGTACCTACCTCATAGAATTTTTGAGAGGATAAAATGAATTAAGACAGGTAGAAATTCATAGAACAGAGCCTGCCACGTTGGAAGTGTTTGATGTATATTAGCTGTGATGATGATGCTAATGGTGAAGATGATGATGACTCCATTTGCAGATAGTGTGAACGCTATAAAACATTCAGTATCAGATCGATTACATTCTCTTCTTTCCCGAGTCAGTGCCAGAGCTACCAAGATTTTATTCTTTAAAAGTTCTACAAGAATAAACTCACTTTACTTGATATGATTATTACACATTGTATGCCTGTATCAAAACATCTCATATTTATGGGGTACCTACATATGGGATACCTACAATGTACCCACAAAAATTAAAATAATTTTTTTAAAAGCCTAAAGTCATTCACTTCTTAGTAAGAATTATGTAAAGATTTCCCAGTGTAGATACCCTCCCCTGCTAATATTTTTTTCTTTTGTTATCAGTATCTTAACAAATTAATTGGCCCAGGAGTGGTGGCTTATGCCTGTAATTTCAGCAGTTTGGAAGACCAAGATGGGAGAATTGTTTGAGGCCAAGAGTTCAGAATCAGCCTGGGTAACATAGTGAGACCCCATCTTAACAAAAAATTTAAAAATTAGCGAGCTACTGGCCGGGCGCGGTGGCTCAAGCCTGTAATCCCAGCACTTTGGGAGGCCGAGGCGGGTGGATCACGAGGTCAACAGATCGAGACCATCTTGGTCAACATGGTGAAACCCCGTCTCTACTAAAAATACAAAAAAAATTAGCTGGGCACGGTGGTGCGTGCCTGTAATCCCAGCTGCTCGGGAGGCTGAGGCAGGAGAATTGCCTGAACCCAGGAGGCGGAGATTGCGGTGAGCCGAGATCGCGCCATTGCACTCCAGCCTGGGTAACAAGAGCGAAACTCCGTCTCAAAAAAAAAAAAAAAAAAAATTAGCGAGCTACTAAGGAGGCTAAGGTGAGAGGATTGCTTGAGCCTTGGAGGTCGAGGCTGCAATGAGCTGTGATTGTGACACTGCCCTACAGCCTGGGTTACAGAGCCAGATCCTGTCGCCCTCCTCAAAAAACCAAAATACAGTAAGTTGACTTATTTATGGCCACTCTCCTTTTTGTGAGCTGGATATGTGTTCACTTTCATTCTTAAAAAGTACAGCCCCCAAAGCTCATACTTGTTGTCAAAGCTCACTACATTTAGGGAGTTTCCTGTAGTCTCCTCTTTCAAGTATTTTAAATAATGTGTAATTTCTTCATGTAGTTGGAACATGCTAATGTTGAGTTGGGACATGAAGAAAAGTTTTGATTTACTCAGAGCTGGGATTTGTGCAAGTCATTTCCTAGTTCTCCTAAGTATTTAATAAATGTAAAATGTAACACACAATTAAATAAGCTAACCAAGCCAAATGAACTAGTGAGTGCATTATAAATAGCAACCAAAATTATACTTCAGATGTTAACTCATGTGTCCTGATTTAATAATGAATTACATCATTTGACAAATGAGATAAGACTTTCACCTTCACCCTTCTGATCCAAATTTCTAATAGTTGAAATGTATTATTACCATCTGGTGTCTGGCCTCTAAAATGCCCTGGTGATATCTGCCTCATTTTTAAGTAGTCAGGACTTGTGTATGCCCGCAAAACACTCTCCTCAGTGTCTTGATTGGCAGGCCCAGAGAGAAGACTAAGAACCAAATGTACCATGGAGATACAGTTCCAGCTCTGTAGAAGTTACTCCTGGTTCAAGGCAGACTCATTTTCTTAGTTTGTACAGCAAAGAAATTGTCATGATCGAAGCTGCTTTTATTTTGTATCTCAATCCGGAAGGTTGCAATTCCTACACTTGCCAAGAATGTTTGCATCTGTTTTAAATTATTTCACACCTTTTACAACATGGCAATAACTTTAACGCCTTTTATTTTCAGAGAAAATAATTCGAGAATGAAGCTGAGAATGATACATAAGCCTAGAGTTTTAACTCAGTGAAGCGATATGATTCAGACAGTTCTCTACTGTTTTGCACATTGTGCGAGGTTCCTAGTAAAAAGGTAAGATGAATCTTATTGCTTTCAAAAACCTGACAATATGGTATGTAGCACAGAATGAACATACATAGAACAATATCCAGTAACACAGATGAAAGTGACAAAGCCATTGCCAAACAGCGTGATGCAGATTGTAAGATCAGTTTTCTTGGTAGGTGTTCTGGGCCGAATGTTGGTATCCTCTAACATTCATAGGTTATAATCTAATCCCCAATGTGATGACAATAGTATTTGGGGGTGAGAACTTTGGGAAGTAACTAGGCATCAGGGTGGACCCCTCCTAAATGAGATTAATGTCCTTATAAGAAAAGGCCAGAGAGCTAGCTCACTCTCTTTCAGCATGTGAGGACACAAGAAGCCCAGAATCTGTAACCTGAAAGAGGACCCTCACTCGAACCCAATCATGCTGATGCTGTGATCTTGGACTTTCAGGTTCCAGAACTGTGAGAAACAAATTTACGTTGCTTATAAGCCACCCATTTCATGCCATTTTGTTATAATGGCCCGAACTAAGACAATAGGTATAAAAGAGAATTGATAAAGATGAAATTTAGGAAAACAATTAGAAGTGAAATGCAAATGACAAGAGGGTGATCCTGGAGTAGAAAAGTGTCTGTGTCTGGTAGATTTGAATAGTTTAGAAATTCCAAGCCTGTGCAAAATAGGAGTTACCAATAATAATGGCTGCATCATTACAAGGCGTACCCAAAAGACAATTAAGAGTAAGTCTGTGTTTGTCAATGGGGAGACTGAGAGTGGGAAATGTTAAATAATCTGCCCACGGTCACTCATCCACCAAGTAAGAGAGCAGGGAATCAAGTTCAGATTAAAGTGCTCTAAAGTTATTCTCCAGCCTCCTCATAGCTTCACTTAATAACCATTTCCTGCTTTGGTTGACTTTAAAAAGATGGCCATACATTTGAGAGAAAAAGGGGAAGCTATAAATCCTTACATATGAACAAATGGCATCAATGAAGATCATTCACTGCCAGCTAGGCATGTTCATCTTCTGTCTATATATTAATTCCCAGACACCTACCAGACATACAGTGCTTTATCTGAGAAGTACACTTGGAGGTCAGTTTTTTGGAGTAAATTGATTGAAGTCTTACGATTCTAGAAAGTTCCTGTATTTAAAAGAATTCCCCCTAAAAATAGTACAATGAAATGAATCACTAATAGTGGAATTTCAGGTACTCAGGTACCTGATAATAAAAACTATTTCAAAACAATGTAACTTTCCTGGCACCTGTCAAATCACAATTTTCATATGAGATGTGGCCAGTTGGGTATTTAAAGACAATTGGTCAGCTATTGTGATGGTTAATATTGAGCGTCAACTTCTTTGGACTGAAGGATACAAAATACTGTTCCTGGGTGCATCTATGAGGATTCTATTTGTCTGTTTTCATGATGCTGATAAAGACATATCTGAGACTGGGCAATTTACAAAACAAAGAGGTTTAATGGACTCACAGTTCCACATGGCTGGGGAGGCCTCACAATCATGGTGGAAGGTGAAAGGCACATCTCACATGGTGGCAGATAAGAGAAGAGAGCTTGTGCAGGGAAACTCTCATTTTGAAAACCATCAGATCTCATGAGGCTTACTATCATGAGAACAGCATGGTAAAGACCTGCCCCCATGATTCAATTACCTCCCACTGGGTCCCTCCCACAATATGAGGGAATTCAAGATGAGATTTGGGTGAGGATACTAGAACCCAATCATGCTGATGCTGGAAGAGGCAGACCCACCCTCAGTCTGAGTGGGCACCATCAATGCTAGTGAAGCTAGAATAAAGCAGGCAGAAGAAAGTGGAATGAACAGACTTGCTGAGTCTTCTGGTCATCATTTTTCTCCCATCCTTGATGCTTTTTGCCCTTGAACATCAGATTCCAAGTTCTTCAGCTTTCAAACTCTCAGACTTACAGCAGTAGTTTGCCAGGGGCCCTCAGGCCTTCAGCCACAGACTGAAGGCAGCACTGTTGGCTTCTCTACTTTTGAGGTTTGGGGACTCAGACTGGCTTCCCTGCTCCTCAGCTTACAGGCAGCCTATTGTAGGACTTCACCCTGTGATCGTGAGTCAATTCTCCTAGTAAATTTCCCTTCATATATACATATGTCCTATTCATTCTTACCACTAGAGAACGCTGACGAATACAGATTTCTAGATGTACAGATGAACTGAGAGGCAAACACTCTGAATTAACAAGACAAATGAAAAACGTGTTCTGTCAAAGATCTTCAGCACTGCGCAGACCTCTGTTAGAATCTTATCCAATTCAAAACCTATCAACCTAAGAAAAATATAAAACATTTGTAAAGCATTCAGAAGAGACAAAAGACTAAAGCAAAACTATATGTTCAAATACTTAACACTACCAAAATGTAATGTGTTTCAGTAAAATGATATATGTCCTCAACTCACACAAATTCATAAATATCTAATATACACACATATAGGAAGTGAATATCAGATGCCTGTATACTATATGTATTAAGTTAAAACTCATTTCCATCCCAAATATGTGTGATATGTAAAATAATATTCTACGTGTTTTGTTTAATTGTTGGGGGTCATTTTAGATTTTATTTTTATTTGCAAAAAAAGATGTCTACAGACAAAATTAATGGAAAAAGCCAAAAATTAGTACCAAAAGAGGAAATGAGGATAAGAAAACACATGAACACATAGAAACATGTAAAAATACTTAAGCCAGGCTCAGAGAACCAGCATCCCTGACAGCAAGTGTTGTCAAACATCCAAGTGTGTTGCTAAGGAAGGTTAGGGAATCTCCCTTTCCCAGAAGTCTTTAAAAATAGGATAACATCTGTTTGGATGGGATAATGGGGATAGTGCTTGACTTGGCAGCTCCTTAAGCAAACCTATAGTTGGGTAATTCTACCATTTCTATTTCTGATTGTAAAAAGTAACAACTTCAGTTCAACTAGAAAAATGGGGCTTATAATGACTTGTAATATTAATTGATAAAATTATTTTCATCGTTATTTGTAGTGCAAAGGTAGATAATTGAGTTTTTCAGAGTATACTTGAAATTGCAGCAAAGGCTCAAACTTTCCCTACCTATTTGTAGCATTTCCTCCAAAATATGAGAAAACCAGAGATGTACTGAGATTATCCTTACAAGAAAGTTACAAAGCATTGTACATAATCCTATATTTAATTTTTACCTCCAACTGAGTAATACCTGTATCCAGTGGGGCAGAGGTAACAGGAAGGCTAGATTATATAAACCCTATTAAAAATTGGAGTCTGCCAGACCAATAACCCAAGGGGTAAAATTTATATATTTGGCCCTGGAGAGAATTTAGACTGTGATCCAGATGTATCTGTACTGCTCTCACCATCACCAAAATTTTGCTTTCTACTATACTACGGGACTGTTTTTCCCCATTTCATTTCACTACACATGTATTTTTTAAGCTCCTACTTTTGGTGAGGTGTGGAGAGAAAAAGCCCAGTGCCCCTGCCCTTGTGGAACACACAATCTAAAAAAGGCATGGGTGGCTCCAAGTGTTGTAGGGTCTTATGCTAGTCTAATTTTTGACATATATTTTAAGAAAAGGAATACACAATTACAAATGCAGAATTACTAACAAAAGGGAATATTTATTGCATAGAGAAAACGAATCACAACAAGTTACAAGTTTTAAAATTCCGACAAATGCCAGAAACATCACAAAACGTCAGAAAAAAACTATATTTTGTATTAATTAACTGACTAATCACATCTATAATTCTACTTGGTTGCATATTGTTGACCACATGAAAAGAATTTTCACATTTTTTCTATGGAGAGAAAACAATGATAATTCATTCAGTCATTATTTTGGTATGATTGATTGAAATTTGTTTTCTTTCTGGTTCACAACTCTTTCATAAATATAAGTAAGTTTTCAGGATGTTTTCAAGTACAGGAAAATTTCAATCAAATTTCTTTGATATATGAACTGCAGGAACTGTAAGATTTTAGGGCATTGCTAATTTCCTGTATGTAAATAATTTTAAATACTCTGTCAATTGATGATACTTATTAATCAGCTTGTCACTGGTGTCCAAGTAATGGTACAGTGTGAGTTTGATTTTATCTCTGTCAATGTTAGTATTGTGTATCAAATTTGAAAGAAATTTAAATATTTTTCCATGAGTTCATGTGATTCAGTCCTCTGCATTAAATGTGTATCAAAGAAGAAAAAGCCCATTCAGTACTCCTCTCTTCCTGTTAATGAATTATTGCTCTTTGTATTATCTAAAAAATATTTCTGTTACAATTTACATCTTGATGTCAGAGCGATTTCTATTTGACTTTATCTCTCAATTTTTTTCATATTCTATCAAATTTCATCTGGATTTTCTCCGAGTTCCTTAATACATTAAGGAATAGATGACAAAAGATTTACTCTTCATAAATGTCTATACCAGAAGTCATTGATTTCTCAGGGTTTTTTAATTGAAAACTTCCAAAACGTCTATGCAAATTCCAGGTAAAATGAAGTATTTATATCTTATTAATTTTTTGAATAATCTGTTCACATATTGTTTGTGTTTCTCTTGCATGCCTTTAAAAATCTATTTCAGAGTCATTAAACTGCATGGTGCAATGTTTTAAGACTTGAACAGCTTTAGTGTGGGCAAACCAAACCACATCGTTACCTTTAGACTCTGAAAAGAAATACTCTTGTTGGCATTTAGCATTCAGTAAAATGTACATATCATAGTGTTCAGCACAATGAGTTTTGAATAAACTCATGTACTCATCACCTAAAACAAATGGAGAGCATTTCCACCACCCAGAAAGTTCCCTTTCCCATCCATACTCCTTCTTCATCCATCCTCATCCCCCAGAGCAACCCTTTTCTAATTCTGTCACCATAATACATTTTACCTACTCTCAGACTTCATGTCAGCGGAATCACTCAGGATGTAATCTCTTGTGTCTGTCTTATTTTGCTTAACATGATTTTGAGAATCAACCACATTGTTGCATGTATGGATAGTTTGTTCTATTATGCAGTGTGGGTAAACCAAACCATGTTGCTACCTTTAGACTTCTAAAAGAGATCGATGATAGACTGGACTGGGAAAATGTGGCACATATACACCATGGAATATTATGAAGCAATCAAAAATGACGAGATCGTGTCCTTTGTAGGGACATGGATGAATCTGGAGAACGTCATTCTCAGCAAACTGACACAAGAGCAGAAAATGAAATCCCTCATGTTCTCACTCATGGGAGGGTGATGAACAATGAGAACACATGGACACAGGGAGGGGAGCACTACACACTGGGGTCTATTGGGGGGAATAGGGGAGGGACAGTGGTGCAGGGGAGCTAGGGAGGGATAGCATGGGGAGAAATGCCAGATGTGGGTGAAGGGAAGGAAGGCAGCAAATCACATGGCCACGTGTGTACCTATGCAACTATCTTGCATGTTCTGCACATGTACCCCAAAACCTAAAATGCAATACAAAAAACAAAAAGAGATACTCTGTGGGCATTTATTATGGTAAATTGTATAAATATAGCCTCATGTATTTATTCATTCTCCTATTGATGGAATTTGGGTTCTTTCCAGTTGGGGCTACTATTGATAAGGATGCTTTGAATATTCTTATGTAAGTCTTTGCATGGACATGTGTTTTCATTTCTCTTGGTTACCTATCTGAGAAGACAACTCTTCAGTAATAAGGTAGATGCATGTTTAGCTTTCATTTCTCTTGGCTACCTATCTGAGAATACAACTGTCCAGTAATAGGGTAGATGTATAGTTAACTTTACTGGAAACATGGTATATTTATTTTAAGTATTCCCTCTACAAGGAAAACACAAAAACAAAACATGTAATTGTTGACAACACCAAAGTGGCCCAAGAATTAGGGTTCCTTAAAGGGAGCCTTCTTCCACCTGTATTGATCATCCATCATTCTTCATTAGGCATCATTCCAGGGTCTGCTAGGCAGAACCACTGGCTGTTCCCTGAGTATGTGATACAGTTTCTTCCCGTGAGTCTCTCTGCAAGGTACTTCCTCTGACTGGCTGCTTGTCTCTCATCCTTTACCTGCCCTATTCATTCTTAAAGACTGGATTTAATCATTTACATCTCTGGAAGGTCTTTCATACCACCCTTCCCAAATCCCCATCACCACTATCAAGGCTGAACTAAGTGTCTCTTCTCTGTGCTCCCATCGAAACTCAGGTTTTCCTCTATAATTGCTAGTCTATTTGTCTATCTCCACCACTAGACTATAAGCGCTCTATGGGTGAAGTCCTGATCACTGCTAGAATCTAATGCCTACCAAAGTTCTCGACAAAGAATAGGTGCCTGACAAGTATCAATTGAATCCATGAATAAATAATTATGCAGGTTTGATGTTGTTGGCATTGGGGAAAATTTGTTTATACTTTATGATATCAAGGTAGAAATAGGTTGTTAGTTGTTCAGGTCTGGAGGTCAGGTATTGGGCTTATGGGTCGGAGGAGGAAAAGATGAATGGATATGGGAGCTCCCCTTACTTTCAGTCACCTTGTATACAGGTAAGAACTGAAAGTTTGAGATTCAGTACAAATACTTGGAGAACGTTTCCAGTTTTGAGAGAGAATGAGAGAAGGGGCAAATTGCAGTAGATTGTGGTATAAATGAAAAGAGAAGGGGAGAAATGCAAACTGTGTAGACAGGTAATTCAAGAATTTTGGTGCTGAGATCCCAAGTAGAGCAACAAAGATATGTCCCAACAGACAGATGAGATTGGATCATGTTGATTCTTTCACTTTTATTTTTGTTAGTTTAAGAAAGAAAAGACAACTGAGACTACTTTCAAATCAAAAGACCAGTGTCACTGGACAGAGGAAATTATGTGACAGATATGAGAAGATACAAATGAGACAAATGTAGTTCATATAAAGTTTTTGCTGAGGTCTCACATCACTAAGTCATGATATAGGTTGGTTGGTTGATTGGTTTCATGAATAGAAATTGCCTGACACCACATTTTCACTTCAAGGCATTGATTAAGTTTGGGGTCAAAAGTACTTAGGTGACTCAAAGCAGAAGCCTTTATCCATAATGAGTAGAACTGAGTGAAGGCTACATGAGAAGTTTGAATTTCCAACAGGAACTTCATGTGTTTGTTCCACTTCTTGTGTTACAGATCTCATAGTACTAACAGAGGCCATTTTATAATGGGTTCAAGGTAATAGTAACATTTGGAGCTGGAAATAAGCTTTAAGATGATCTTGTCCAGTATCTAGAAGACTTTATGTCATGGTTGGGACACTGCTTAGACATCATCTCTTCTAGGAATCCTTCCTCGGGTTGTAAATAAACACACTTTAAAAAATGTTACAGGCAACTCTTTCATCCTCTTGGAGTTTTTATAATGCTTATGATTATTAAATGTTAGACTCTGAGAAGTTCTACAGTAAATAAACCAATGTAATTCTGATTCACAAAATAGTTTTCCATCATATTTGGACCTGGAAACCATCATACTTATTTTGTGGACACTTACATGCATTAAAAAAGAGTCTTTTGAGGATCACTAAACTAATCCATTCAGACAGAGTCTCAGTCAATATTTTTATCTCCTTATTTCATGTATTTAAACTTAATAGCCAAAAACAATTTCATTATCTTTGTTGACTGGGATGATCTGGGCAATTCTCCTGTTCCACATAATGCTAGCTGGGCCTGCAGTTAACTGTGGCCTGACTGAGGCCTCTGCACAGATGCTGGAATGCTGAGTTCTGCCCTGGATGCTGGCATGGCTGGCTCCTCCCTCCCCATCTAGTCTCAGGCCTCTAGCCCTTCACCTGTGTTCACCATGTTATCCCTCCTTATAGTGTCTTCATAAGGTATGCAGACCATTTAGATACTGACTCAGGGTACCTGAAAGTACAAAATCAGAAACTTCTGAGACTTTCTTAAGGTTTACACCCCGAACTGGAATAGCAACCCTTCTATCACATTGTATTGGATAAAAGAGTCACAGGCCAGCCCAGATTCAAAAGGAGCAAAAAATAAACTCTACCTTTTCATCAGGTGGTGCACAGGGAAAGATAGATGACAAAGAATTTTCAGTAATACTTAACCCACCACACCTCTCATGGGCTTTTAGCACATTGTGGGATAAAGAACCTGTTCCCCGACACTAAAATTCCCCAGATAACTAAATCCCCAAGCTTCTTGGCATCACAGAGATGGCTGGTCCATTGATATCTTCCCTAATATCCAGGATCAATATGTTAGGCAAATGGCCAAGAGGACTCAGATCCAAACACATTAAATCAGGGATACAGGCCGGGCATCTTGCCTCACTTGTAATCCTAGCACTTTGGGAGGCTGAGGACAGCAGACTGCTTGCACCCAGGAGTTCAAGACCAGACAGGGCAACATGGCTAAACCTTGTCTCTACAAAAAAATACCCAAAAAAATTAGCCAAACATGGTGGCATGTGCCTGTAGTCCCAGCTACTCAAGAAATTGAGGTGGGAAAATCACTTGAGCCCAGGAGGTTGTGGTGAGCCATGACTGCACCACTGCACTCCAGTATGAGTGACAGAGCAAGACCCTGTCTCAAAAAAAAAAAAAAAAATTAGAAAACATTGAAAGACTGACACTAGTTCTAATGGTCTAAACAAGAGGTGAGCAAACTACATTCTGTAGGCCAAATCCACCTACTGCTGGTTTTTGCAAATAACATTTTGCTGGAACACTGCCACACCAATGTGTTTGTCTATTGCCTATGGCTGCATTTATGCTACAGAGTCAGAGTTGAACAGTTGTGACTAACACCATCTGGCCCTTTACATTAAAAGTTTGCCAACCCCTGTTCTAGATTATATAAACATTATAAAATGATGCCCACTTTATTGTGAGATGACTCTATCTCTACATTAAGAAACGTGGAATATTATCAAGCTGTAAAACAGTTTTGATGGAGTAAAAAATTGTTGTATTGTTGCATGCATCAAGAGTACACTCTTTCTTATTGCTGATTATATTGTATTTGATTTTTATAAGTAAAGCTACTATGAACATCTACGTGCAGATCTTCAAATGAAGATATGTGTTGATTTATTTTTTTTGTAAGAGTTAAATGGCTAGATCATGTGGTCAGGATATCTTTAACTTTTTTTAAAAACTGCCCACATGTTTTCCAAACATTCTTATCAGCCATTGATTGAAGAGAGTTCCTGTTCTACTACAGTTGTGCACTTGTTATAGTCAGTCCTTTAATTTTAGCCACTGTAATAGGTATGTAGTAGAATCACATTGCAGTTTTAACTTGCATTTTTCTAATGACTGATGATATTAATCATCTTTTTCATAGGCTTATGTACCATCCACGTACTTTTTGATGAAGTGTCTGTTCAGATTTTTTTGCC